GAGCTTGAATTCTACTATAATATTATGACCGAATTAAGAGCTTTAATTTACGTTATCAGCCACGCAACTAAAATTAGGTCTGAACTTTGAACAATTCTCATCACCAACGTTTAATAAAAACAAGGCATAGAAGGTTGCTTACGTTATGGGTTTGAGGGAAGGGAGTCCATGGCATGCAATAAAATAGAAGACCAATGATATTTTTTCTTGACGTGTGCAACTCAATCATACACATATTGAGTCGTACACACCTCAATTTATTAACAATACATAATCAACGACGATATAGTTGAGCATAATTCAACGGGTTAAGATACCTATTTTTGATCAAAAGATCGTGGGTTCGAATTTCCACCTTCACATATTTGTACTAAAAAAATCAACGATTAAAAGAATTCATGTTTTAAAAGAATTATACTTACTTTATGATGGGTTAGAACGAATTTATGCTTACTATCATTATGTTTTTAAAATTGTTTTCTTTGTCAAATTTTTAGTTGTGACCAGTAAGAATAGGAAGATTATTGCATAATAAGGGAATAAGATATTTTCTGGAACAAGCAAATTCAATCGTATGTATGGGTCAATGTAATCTCACATATCTTGATAGACAAAAAGAATTTTAGGAAGTTGTTGACTTGATGACAAGGGAGCAGCGACCGAAAAACCTTTCGACACTCCATTCAGAATTTACAAACAACTGTGTTCACTACATAAAAATAACTAAAAAAGATTCCATAATTTTTTTTAATAACCTCTCGACCATACTCAAGGCTTGGATACATTTAATTTCGAAATCGAGAAATTTCTACCAGATCAAGTCCTATAATTCTTCTCTAGGAACAGGCTTGATGCCTTAGCATCATCGGACACTCAACTAACATTAAGAACAAGTATTCTCCTTTCCGTTAAGTCACAAGTTTAATCCATAAACCGTAAAAAAGAGTTTCTTATAAGCATCTGACTTTAGATATTGCCAATAATATAAGTTTCTAAGCTTTCAATTTCGTGTCTAATCGGCTCTTATCATATAAGAAAATTTTTAAAAATTTATAGATATTTTAGACATAAAATTGAGAGGTCATGGTCTTAAATCAATTTTATATCTAATAGGTCATTGAATTTCATAAAATGTGAAATAGGATAGGTCGACCTATTAGACACAAACTTAAAAGTACAGAGACACCTAATAGGCACTTTTAAGTTTAGAGATCTATTAGACATAAAAATTGAAAGTTCAAAGGACTTCCTAGACACCATCATAAAAAATCCGAGATTAAACATGTAACTAAAAAAGCT